TTCAATTGTACATGAAAATTATGTATAAACATCATTTTCTTTTAATTTCTTTTTATAAAAAAAATGTACTCTATAATTGGTTTTTATTAAGATTTTTGTTATAGATAATATTTTAAGAGTTAACCAAATACCAAAAGACAAAAATAAAAATTATTTTATATAAAAATATTTTTGGAGAAACAAACGGAGTGTAACTAACAAAAAAAAATATTTAGAGCATACATTAAATCATTATACTTACCACTTAAATAATAGAAAAAGATACATTTCAGTGGCACTATCACAAAATATTTATAAATTAATAAAAAAATACAACAATGCTAGAGGACCACAATTTTTGTGGCCACAATTGCTCAAAACTGTCAAAACGACGTCCTTTTGACATGTTTTGCACCCAAAACAATGTCGTTTTGACAGTTTTGAGCCATTGTGGCCCTCAAACATTTTCCTAAAAAATATATGAATTGAATAATTAAATTGCATAATATTTACCACTGAATTAAAATATTTTTGAAAAAATACAGAGAATTGTGATTTTCTCCAAATAATAGTTGGATGAAAATGAAATAGTAATTTGGAGTCAACAAATCAAGTCAAGTCAAGCACGGTGGCGATCATATGCGATAATTCTTTATAATTGCGATGTGAAAGTCACCTAACCTCGCTTGGTCCAAGTAGTTAAGTAGTCATCACTCCAGAAAAAGAAAGACTTAAAGGTAACGTGGGATTTGGATTAAAATTTTTTTTTTGGCTCTGTTTGGTTAGGATTTTAAATTATAATTTTACTCATTTATTTAAATGTATTGTTTGTTTTAAGTTTTCAAATCGTAGTTCTACACTCATTTCTTAAAACTCAATTCAAAACATAATCATTATTTTTCAAAACTCATAATCAAACACATAATTCAAAACTTTTTTCAAAACTCAATTTAAATCAATATTTTAATTTTGTTAAGATTTTAAATATTTTAATATTTAAATATGTTACGATTTTTTTTAATTTTTTGAATATTTTTAAATATTTTAATTTCAAAATATTACGATTTTAATTTTTTAAATTTTAAAATATTTTATAAAAATAAATTCAAACCCTATTTTATAAAAATATTTTTAAATATTTTAATTTTTTTGTTTGTATTTGGATACGATTTGAGTGTAGAGTTGTAAAAGTAGTATGGAGTTTCGAGTTATGTGTTTGGTTATGAATTTTAAAAATAATTTCTTAATTGAGTTTTGTTTTATGTGTTTGGTTACGATTTGAGTGTAGAGTTGTTTTTAAATTTAAAATATTAACATTTTAAATTATTTAAATTTTTTGAATATTTATTTTAATTTTTTACTTATTAAATTTTTTAGATTATTTAAATTATTTAAATATTTATGATTTAAATTTTTTGAGTATTTATTTTGAAAAAAAAAATATTTCCTTTGTAGTATTTTCAATTAAAAAATTGATTAATGTTATTTTCGGTTAATAATAAATTTTTTTAATTAAATTTTAAAAAGAGTTTAGTTAAGAGTGTTGATCGAAATTTTCAATAGTATAAAAGTAGTGTGTTTTGTTATAAGTTATAACAATTTAAATTAAGTTTTAAAAATTCTTTTCAAAACTCAAAACCAAACAAATTTTCTTAATTCACATGTCAAATCAAACTTTCAAAACTTAATTCCACAAGTCAATTTAAAACTCAATTCAACACTCTTTTCAAAAATCATAACCAAACAAATTTTCTACACTCAAATCATAATTTCACAACTCACAAACTCAAAATATAACTCATACTCTCAAATCATATTTACAAAACCCTACCAAACACAACCTTAAGCTCTCTTTAAAATGGATAAATTACACTGACATTTCCTAATATTTGGTCTAATTATATCTCACTTTTTAACATTTTAGAAATTATATTCTTACTTCTGTAATTAATAGTTTTATTTCACAAATCTCTTTACTTATATAAAAGATAATAATTTCTGATATAAAAAAAGAAGAAATTATATTTTAAAAAATAAAGTAAAACAAAGGAAATGAAAAAGGGAAAAAAAAAAGAAGAAGTAAAACAAAGTAAGAAAAAAGAAAGTACATGAAGTCAATGTTTTCATTCCGTTTAAATAATTATAATGATGGGGGGTTAGTGTAAGTTCTCAAACATCAAGGAGTATTATGTATTAAACTCAAACCTCAAGGAGTGTAAATATAATTTACCCTTTTAAAATTCATAATCAAACACAATTTAAAATGCAATTCAAAAATTCTTTTTAAAACCCATAACTAAATTTTTCTCAAACTCTATTTTTTTTTAAAAAAAATCAAAAAAATAATTTCTTATATTTTATTTTATTGAAAAATATATGTTTTTATTTTTATTTTTTGAAGAATTTTTTTTTTCGGAAAAATATTTTGTTATTCTTTTAAGTACTAACTAAATAATTTGTTATGATTTAGATATATATGGATGATCTAATATTTTTTCAAATTTATAAAAAAATAAAAAATATATATTCAATTTTTTTATTTAAAAAAAGGGTAAATTACACTTACATCCTGAGGTTTGAATTTAATACATATCACTCCCTGACGTTTGAGAAACTACAATAACTTCCTTATTATTATAATTATTTAGACGGAATGAAGACATTAAACTCATGTTTTCTCTCTTTTCTTACTTTGTTTTTTTTTTTTCAATGTAAATTTTTTTTTTCTACTAAAAATTGTTGCCTTTTATATAAGTAGGAGATTTGTAAAATGAGATTATTAACCAAATGTGTGGGATTGTAATTGAACCAAACTTCAGGAGGTGTCAGTGTAATTTATCTTACAAAAAGTGATGTAAAATGATATTTTTATAAACTGATATACCCACAGTCTACTTTAATTTTAGTTATGATTGTTGCGAAAAGTGAAATTATCTTCACAAGAAAAGCAAGATGATGTGGGCCTTCCTTTATCTCTGCAAAGAGAAACCGAATGGCAGGTCTCAGATATACCTCTATATTTCTTGGAGTCCGGATCCTCGGCTGCCCTACCCAGCAGTCCTTTCCAGCAGCGCCCCAAAACGACGTCGTTTTGGGGCCAATTTTCCAAAAAAAAAAAAGTTCGGTCATTGGATCAGTAGTCTCAACACATGTACATTGTAATGAGTTTTATTCCTCTTGTATTTATTAAGAATTTCTCTCCTTTAATTAATTTTTTATTTTTTATTTTGGTAATAATGATATGTTGTATTTCATTTTCAATGTAATGTTGGTAAAATTATAATGTTCAATGATGTCTTCCCTAGCATGCCAAATTAAAGTACTTGATAGCCCAGCTTGAAAAGCATTTCTAAATTTTTTTATTGAAAGTAATTTCCATTTTTAAATTTTATAAAAAGAAATGTGTTTTGTTTGGTTCTTACCCTAGCATAAAATTTGTTTTCTTATTATATTTATTGTGTATGTCATACACAATTCAACTCCTAAAATGGGAGAAAAAACATGCCCTTTTGTGAAAGGAATTGAACCTTTGAGTTTATAGGGAGATGCAACCACTCAAGTGAAATAAATTTTGTATTTTGAGAAATTAATTTAAGAAATTACTTGATGATGAATTAGATTTCTCATGGGTAAAATTGTCAATTTCATAAATTATAAATTAATTTGACAAAAATAAATGTCAAAAAAATAAAAAATAGTTTTTTAAAAATTTTTTTTTTTTTTTTTTTTTTTTGTTGATGATGAACCCAACAGAACCCAGCAGCTCCTTCTTCCTCTTCTTCTCTTCTTCTTCTTCTTCTTTTTCTTCATCTATAGATATAAAGATATATATATATATATATGGATGAACCAGTAGCAGACCCCGTTCTTCTTCTTTTTTTTTTTCTTTTTTTTTTTTGGAAAATTGGCCCCAAAACGACGTCGTTTTGGGGCGCTGCTGGAAAGAGCCGCTGGGTAGGGCGGCCGAGGATCCGGACTCTATTTCTTGACATATATTCTTATCTGTTGGATTAAGGTATGATCTATTGGTTCTTATTTTGCACATCCTCCTTCTAGAAGGATATCATCATGCTTAGCTGTCTTTCACGTGCCTGTGTCTAAGCCTCATCTAAGTTGATCTTTATTATTGGCCCAAGGTGCTGCTTGCTTTTGGGAAGACTAAATAAGTGTACTTTTTGACTTTTCTTGTATTATGTGTAAAAAAAGTAGAGAGGAGATGTTGATTGATGTGACCCAAAAAAGATAAAAAGATGAAATAAGTGTACTTTTTTAGTTTAGCCAAACTTGACCTAAGTGGATTGGGCCTGACCCATATTCTTTTTTTTTTTTTTTTGAGAAAATTACTATGTAGTCTTATGTAGGAGATCTATTTCCCTTCTAATCCTAATATATTTTTAATAGATTAATAGGTCCACAATTTTTTAAGTTTTATACCTAGAGGTCCCGTTTTTTATGTTCTTATTTTTTAAATGACTGTATTACCCTTTGTTTTGAGATCTATATATACGTGAAAAATCAAATATTTGCTCCGTTCAAAAAAGAAAATCAAATCTTTGCCTCAGCGATCTCAATTTCTCTTCGTTATGGTGATCTCATTATGCTGTGTGGTCGATCTCATTGTGCTGTGAGGTGGATCTGGTTGTGCGATCTGAATGTCTGTGTATAGGCGATCTCTGCGTACGTTTTCTCTCTCTCTCTCTCTCTCTCTCTCTCTCTGTATCTGGTTTGTATCTGTCGATACATATATGTATGTATATATATGTGTATATATATATATATATGTGTGTGTGTGTATCTGGTTTGTATCTGCGTATGTATCTGTCGATACATATATGTATATATATATAGATGAACAAATTTGCATGATATCTGGTTTGTGTTTGGCAATGTTGTTTCAATTCTTTATTTTGTGATAATTTTGTTTGTTTGATACTTATTTTGTGATTTTTGTATGTGATATAGTGTAATGATTTTGATTTTGTTGATTTTGTTTGTTGTATAGTGTAATGTGTTTTGAAGTTGTAGTTTGAAATTGTGAATTCTGATATTTTGATACTGATATGTTGTAACTGTATAAGTTTACAGTTTGGAATTGTGAATTGTGCAGTGTTGGTACTGATATGTTGTAACTATATAATTTTGCAGTTTAGAATATTTGAACAATTGTTTGCTGGTTTGTGATTTTGTAGTATGGAGGGGTGTTTCATGTTAATGTGTAAATACAGTAATTCTTGTGCTGCTATTAAGATTAGTGAGGGATGTAGTTATCATAAAGTTGTTGAGAAAATATCTGCGAAGTTCAAGGAGTTGAGTGTTGGTAACTTTTGTTTGTTTTTCTCTATTCCTGGATATTCTAATTGTATTGTTGAATGTGATGATGATTTGGGGAATATGCTGTCAATGGTAGGTTGTAGTGGTTCTCATGTTGTTGATGTTGTTGTGGGTGATAAGAGAATTGTGGAGGTTGATGATGATAATTCTTGTAGGATTGATTCTGTAATTTGTGAGAGTTCTTTGGTTAACGATTGTGATGATTTTGGTGGTTTGTTGCCTAGTTTTTATCCAGAACCAGAGAGAGTTTTGTTGTCTGCTAGTTGGAAGGGGATTATACATAGTGTTGGTCAAGAATTTGAAGGTGGAGTGCCGGCGTTCCGCATTGCATTGGCTAAGTATGCAGTTGAGTGTGGTTTTGCTGTGAATTATTTGAAGAACGATGCAACAAGAGTAACTGCTGAATGTATGATGAAGTTGTCCACGGGTTGCAAATGGTTTTGTACATGAAGGGTGTTGATGAATTCCGGTATTTTTTTATAATGAAGTTGGATAATGTGCATACTTGTGGGGTTGTCGCTCATAGATCTTGTAGCAAAATGGTTGGTTCTAGACTCGTGTCTGATATTGTGCATAATAATATCAGTGATAATCCGTTGACTTGTCCTATTGAAGTTAAAAAAAGTTGAAGAAGCAATATGGTATAGATGTTTCTTATCGGGTTGCATGGTTAGGAGTTGATAAAGCAAGAGGTGGGTTGTTTGGTGATTTTGCAACTTCTTTTGACCAACTTCGATGGTACCTTAAGACGGCTATGAGAACGAATCCATGAAGTGTGTTTGAATTAGATGTGGATGAAAGTAGTGGGTGTTTTTGGAGGTTGTTTGTGGCATTTCATTGATGTTTGTATAGCTTTCAATTTTTTCGTCCATTGTTGTTTATTGATGGCACATTCTTGAAGGGGCATTACAAGGGGCATTTGCTTGCAGCAACATCAAATGATGGTAATCAAGGTATGTATTTATTTGCAGTTAGTATAGGTTTGGTTTGTCAGTGTGTTATTGTGTTGTGAGTCTTCTAATTTTTGCAGTTTCATGTTATTTTGTTTGCAGGTTTGTTTCCTTTGGCTTTTGCGATTGTTGATGCTGAAAATCAAGATAATTGGATCTGGTTCTTAAGTCAGTTGTTAAAGGCTGTTGGTTCAGGCCGGAGATTAACCTTTGTGTCTGACCGTCAACATGGAGTGCTAGACGCTCTTTCAGTGGTTTTTCCTAATGCACATCATGCATATTGCTTGAATCATTTGAAGAGAAATTTGATTGACAAATTGGGGACTTCGTACTAACTATAAGCTGTGTTTGATGAAAATATTTGCGATTGTTGACGTTGAAAATCAAGATAATTGGATCTGGTTCTTAAGTCAGTTGTTAAAGGCTGTTGGTTCAAGCCGGAGATTAACCTTTGTGTCAGACCGTCAACATGGAGTGCTAGACGCTCTTTCAGTGGTTTTTCCTAATGCACATCATGCATATTGCTTGAATCATTTGAAGAGAAATTTGATAAACAAATTGGTGGGACTTCGTACTAACTATAAGCTGAGTTTGATAAAAATATTAGTTAAATGTGCTTATGCGCCAACTATTGCTTCTTTCCAAAATTATATGGAGAAATTAAGGCGTATTACTGGGAATGATAGAGTTGATAGTATGTTGGATGATTTGCAAAATGATAAGTGGGCCAATGCATTTTTTAAAGTGAAACAATATGGTGAGATGCCATCTAATGCTGCTGAGTCTTACAATAATTGGATTTGTGGGGCTTGTGAGTTGCCTATTACTTGTATGGTTGATATGATTAGGGTTCAAATCATGACTCAATTGTCTAATAGAAGAGTTGAATCTAAAAAATGGACTACGAAATTGTGTCCAATTATGGAAAAGAAGTTTGTGGACTCTTTGAAGCTAGCTAAGTCTTGGGATGTGATTGTTGCTAGTGATACTGTGCTTGAGGTTCATTCTTCTATTTCTTTTTATGTTGATATTGGTAGACAGACTTGTTCTTGCCATGTATGGAAATTGAATGGTTTTCCTTGTTGTCATACTGTGCATGCTTTGCATAGTAGTAGTAGAGATGTGTATGATTTCATTGATCCATTTTTTCATGTAGATTTTTTTAGAGAGTCATACAAGGAATCTGTTTATCCAGTGGCTTCAAGTGAGAGATTTGACTTTGATGGTGCTGGTAGTTCGATTATCAAACCTCCTATAACGAAGAAGCAGCTCGGGTGGAACAAGAAGAAGATGATACCTTCTAGGGATGAGAATGTGAAGCAAATCAAGTGTGGGAGGTGCTTGAAATATGGGAATCACAATAACAAGACGTGCAAGACTGCTATTTGAGGCCACAGTCTATTCTTTTGGATTTGTATTTGAATTTGAGGAATTATGATAATAAAAAATGTGATACTTGGTATTATGGAAGTAATGAATAAAGTTGGTTGAATTGTTTTTTATTTTTTGATGTGTTCATTAGTTATTGAAGTGGTTTTGTAACAGTTTTGTTTTGTTTTGTTTTTTATTTTTATTTTTATTTTTTTGTAGATTTGGTTGGTTTTATTTTTATGGAATGCTGAGAACGTTGTTGAAAATTTCTTATTGAAACTGTATAATATTGAAATGCAGTTTTACTACATGATTTATTTATTTCATATTTCTTAGTGACAAAACTATAAAATTTTGCAGTTTTATTTTCAATTTTGAAATGCAGTTCATCTATTTGTTGAGTCATGAAATTGGATGCATAATTGTGTAGCATAATTTTTGTTTGAGTAATGAAACTGCATAATTTTGTAGTTTTAAGAATTATGAAAAACAACCTGATGACACTACATAATTTTGCAGTTTTAAGAATTATTAGAAACAACCTGATGAAACTGCATATTTTTGCAGTTTGAAGAATTATTAGAAACAACCTTTATTGTATGAAAATATATGCAACCACAAACAAGTACACAAACAATCAGAAGAACAACCACAATAATAATAATAAGAAGAGCAACAATAACATCAATGACAACAATCATTTTTACCATAATAACCAAAAGAAGATCATCCCAAAAGCATATAAAGTACTTGTCACATGTTAAAATAAAAATAAAAAAGTACAAAAATATGTTCACTTGAATATTTGTATTGTCAAGAAGTTTGTTCATTGTTTATATGGTTTGGTATGTTTTGTCAACATTTGGTAGTGCTCGAGTTTCCAAGATCGGTTCTCATCATTAAGAAATTGACTGATGATTTCTGCTCGAAATTTGACCCATTCAGTTGGTTGAAGTGATTTCTGCACAGGTTGTTAGTTGATATATTGGTTGATAACATTGCAGACGGCTATTGCACAATCATCCCTGCAAAGTTTTAGATGAAGTTAATTAATTAGGTAAAACTGTAAAATTTAGCATATTGAAACATTAGTTTATTGATTTTGTATCTTACGAGTGTGGGGTTTGTGATGGGCATTCCTCAATTGATGCAATTATTGTCTCGCACTCTTGAGATGATAACATGTTTTCTTGATTGCTGAATGATGCTTTATTCCATCTCAGTTGATGTTGTTGCTACAAATAGTTAGTGTGTGTTTTTGTTAGTTATAGTGATGAGTTGAGATGTTTTGAAATGAATGGAACTAAGCAGGAAATTTTGTTTAACTTACAATTTCCTTTACAATTTCAAAGTGCTTGTTGTGGCAATCTTTTGCTGGTCTCAAAAAGTCATAGTGCCTCCATATTTCATCAGTATTGTCAAAGACCACAATTGTCCAATGGTTGTCGTGGTTGATCGAGAAATGGATATATCTATTTTTCATTGCTTTTGAAAAATGGATGTCCATCATTTTTTCTCTCAATGCTTGATCTTGGTTTTGTAGTGGAGTCTGTAATTTATATATATGTTTGAAATATGTTATAAAACTATGTAGTAAGACATGTTAAGAAAGAAGAAAATTTTGCAGTTTGAATAATCTTGAAAGGTATGTTAAGTTTTGCTTACATTGATGAGTGTTGAGAAAACATAAAATCTTCCAGCGTATGGATTTCTTGCAAAGGCTAGATCATGTTTCTCAAATTCTTCAATGGATGGTTGGAGTGCAAATTTCATTTCTGAGAAGGCATCAATGATCTGAAATATGTATATATGAGAATGTGTTAAGTTTGTGGAATAGGTTATTGAATATGAACAGAAACTGTAAAATTGTGCAGTTGGAGACCTACATTCCCATATAAGGGTTCCCTGTTGGTCAATCTGCATATATCTGAAAAATATACGAAATTTTCATCTTCGCTGCCAGACCAGACACAAGCTGTTGATTGTGTGTTGTTGATGAGTTGAATTTGGTCTTGGTCTTTTTTGGATAGGCTATGTCAAACCTTGTTTGTTTTGCGGCATAAAATGACGAGTGGCTTGTTTTGGATTGATTCTTCCTTGAAATCATCATCACTTTCCCATACTTGAAGTTGTGTCTGCTCTTGATTGGCATACTCTTTTGGGTTGGTTTCACCAGCAATTCTTTCTCTTGGCCAATATGTTCTTGCATCTTTTCTTTCTGCTGTTGTTTTGGTTCATGAGCACCCTCTTTTTGCTCGAGTTCAGTAGCAGGTTCTTTTTTTGTTTTGATTTCTTCTTTTTTTCTTTCATTCTTCTTCTCTTTTTCTTCATCGGTACCTCTGTTGGTTTGGGTATATCAGCAGTAGTTTCTGTCTTGTTCCTTATATCTTCTTTGGCTTTTGTCATTGGTTGGTATTCAAAATCTGGGTCATGTGCTTGTTTTCTTGACTTTTGTTTGATTCTCTTGACCATTGATCTTTGTTAGGGGCTGCCAGTTTTTTTGGCAGACATTTCCTTTAATTGATCTTCTTTTTTATGCAATTCAGCCATGAATTTTTGTTCCATTTCTTACATTTGTGCTCTCATGGCTAATATGAGCTTGTCCTTGTCATACTCTTTGGTTGATGTTTGTGCTTGGTCATGACCTATAAAAATATTGGATTGTGTTTTGGTTAGTTTAATTAAATTTTGCAGTTTGCTTCAATATTAGACCAGAGTTTACCTTATGCATGAAATGTATCAGATTTCTCTTGGATTTCTTCTTCTTGTTGTTCGTCTGTCAGTTCTTGTTCATTGACTTCTTGTTGTTGGTTTGGTTGTTGTTCTTGTTGTTGGCCTTCTTCTTCATGAGTGTCTTCTTGTTGATCACATTTTTCTTCTCTTTCTTCTGCTTCATCATTCATTGATCTTTGTTAGGGGCTGCCAGTTTTTTTGGCAGACATTTCCTTTAATTGATCTTCTTTTTTATGCAATTCAGCCATGAATTTTTGTTCCATTTCTTACATTTGTGCTCTCATGGCTAATATGAGCTTGTCCTTGTCATACTCTTTGGTTGATGTTTGTGCTTGGTCATGACCTATAAAAATATTGGATTGTGTTTTGGTTAGTTTAATTAAATTTTGCAGTTTGCTTCAATATTAGACCAGAGTTTACCTTATGCATGAAATGTATCAGATTTCTCTTGGATTTCTTCTTCTTGTTGTTCGTTTGTCAGTTCTTGTTCATTGACTTCTTGTTGTTGGTTTGTTTGTTGTTCTTGTTGTTGGCCTTCTTCTTCATGAGTGTCTTCTTGTTGATCACATTTTTCTTCTCTTTCTTCTGCTTCATTATTGTCTTGTTGTTCATCAGCTTTTTCTTCTTCTTCTTCTTGTTCTTCTTCTTCTTCTTTATTAGCTTCTTCTTCTTCATCAGTCACTTGTTTTTTTTCATCATCACTCTCTTCTTCTTGGTCATCACTTTCTGGTTCTTCTTGTGGTTTTTGCTTTCTTTTTTATTTTTGTTCTTCTTGTTATGATTCTGATTCTGATTCTGATTTTGATTTTGATTGATGTTCTTCTTCGAGAAAGTCATCATCATCACTATCTAGAAGTCTTTTTTTTGTTGCTTTTGTTTATTTTTTTCGCTTATTGTCCTTTTTGTGGTCATGTTTCTTTGCTGAAGAGTCTGTTGATGTGCTTTGATTAATATGCAATAACTATATTTCTTGTTCAGTTGCAGTTAAAGCACTTTGGCCAACCTGCATTGAAACAATGTGGCATATATCAGTAATACTGTAAAATTGGTCAGTTTCATAAAATGAGTTGTACTGTGAGCAATGTGAGTTAAGTGTTGGAATATGTTGTTTGAAACTGAAAACTTTTACAGTTTCATAACATGAGTGATGTTAAATAGATTTGTGCATTTAAACTGCAAACTTTTGCAGTTTCATAACATGAGTGATGTTAAATAGGTGTGTGCTTTGAAACTGTAAAATTTTACAATTTCATAATATGATTTGTACCGTGAATAATGTGAGTTAAGTGTTGAATATATGTTGTTTAAAACTGAAGAATTTTACAGTTTCATAACATGATTTTTACTATAATGACTGTGGAAGGAGTGTTGAATAGATTTGTGCTATGAGAGTATAGAAGAGTTTGAATACATTTTCAAAGTCAGCAAGGCTGATGTGTTTCCACTTGGAGTACATTTTTCCAAGGTTCCACTTCATAAACCTTGGGAAGCCTTCTTTGTTAGATGGTCGGAGGAGTTTATTGTGCTCACAGTACCAGTACTGTAAAAAATTTTTTTTTTGAAATATGTTAGATAGTTCGAAATAGGTGGATGTTTGATCTTTTTGTATGAAGTAGTTGAGTAGTGTGTTTACTAAGAGTAACATGACGCATCCAGTGACATGCCTTGGGTTGTTGTTTTCATTTGCCATTGAATTCATGAGTGTGTCTTTTATTGCCTCAACCCAATTGTACTTCTTGATGTTGTTGAGATTGTCAACACAGTTGAGGAAACTCCAACTGAGTGTATGGCCTGTTGTAGGCATGAGAAGTTTCAAGCACAAGTAAAGGGTGATGACCCTTGCAAGATCTTGACGGTCATTGATTGATTTTCCTTTTTTTGTTTGTTGAAACATTTTGGTTAATGACTTGCCATCCAATCTCTTTACTGATTTGCATCTTCGTTTGTAAAATGCACCCTCAAAATCCTTTGGTCTTGCATAGGATTTGGGGGTGATGTTGTCTGAAAAATCTAGAAATCCCCTAGATGTTGATTTGTGATTTTGTATCAATTTTAAGTAGAATATAACAATCCCAATCAAACAATCAAGACAAAGAAACACAACGATTTTATGTGGAAAAAACCACAATTGGACACCTCCAACTGTGATAAAAAACCACGGGCAACAGCCACAAAACAATCCACTAAGAAGATTTAAAGGAATTACAGGTATACTCTCAATTACCTAGCGAATCCACGCCTAATTGAACCAACCTCTATGTGCCTCTTCCAACCCCATCTTCACG